AAGTAAGAAGTTTAATAAAAAGAAGGATGCTTCTAAAGCTGTTTTTTTTTATTCTACAAGGTGGTAAAAATACAGCCAATATGTCATTAAAGCCTATAGGCATCAATGGTCTTAAATTGCTTTTACGTTTGTTAATCCACCATTTATATGTTACACAACATATTAAAGGAATAATGAAAGTTAATTATTTGGATTTCCTATCTTTTTTCAGGGATCATACAAACTCATACTGATAGTTTAAAATGTTGTAAGGAGCCGTTGTTTTTGGTAGAGTTTAATCATGATCTTTCACACACATTTACATTTTTTTGCAACAAGAAATCCCTACTTAATTAAATCTGCAAAAACTTCACACCTTAGGTTATAACAAAGTTTAAAAATTAAATTAAAGTAGTAAATAAAGGAGGCTACCATGACAAATTAAAAGTAAAATACTGCATCACCTATGAGAGTGATGAAACAAGGCAGCTCTGTTTTGTTTAAAGGGAAACACTTTTCCCAGTTGTCCACATCAACAGAAGCTCTGTCTTTTTTCAACTGATGTTTTCAGGTAAATACTCCACAGGATGATTGCAGTGTAAAAGACTTACACAAACTCTTATTCTAATCATCTCCATCCAAGAGTGGTGCTCTATGTAAGATGAATGATGAACTTACCTCTTCAGTCCCGGGCTCCTCTTGAGTGGTGCTGCTTCCCAGTCTGATATTTGAGTGTGGCTTCCTTGGTCTTCCTTGGTTGCTGCTTGTATCTTGGGCTATTAAGTCCTTAGAGGAATGCCTATGACGAAGTGACAAGCATCCATGTGTCAGACATGGTGCATGCCCAGAAAGGGGATTGCGTTTTTGTTTATGGCATAAATCACAACCTCCAGCTAGGGGGAGGACAAAAAGCTTAGGTTGGATACAAGCATGAACATGGGACAACCATGACTGTTGCTTCTTTTTAAACAATAAAGGGGTTTCATTGAGAGTGCTTTTGGTAATAAACATTTGGAATTTGGCCATTTTTTTTATGACTTTAGCAGACTTAAAGAATCCCTAGTACTCTGCTTTGGTGATATTCTACTTTTCAACTGACTTTGTTTTATTAAAGTCCTCCAGATTCTGCACTCTCCCTTTCAGGCAATCTTTACAAGCTTTGCAGATTACTTTTACTTCCTCAGACAAAACAGTGCATGGAAAGATTCTAAGTTGGATTTCATTTTGCAATTATTTTTTTGATCATTCTGTTGACTGTTAATTTGTCAGTGGTCAATTAGTTTTGACATGCTTGCGTTGTGGAGTAAGAGTAAGCATACGTTAGTAGTCAGGGCAATGTGTTGACAGCTAAGCACGCTCCTGTTGACACTGTTAAGAAATTACGAGAACAGCAAAATATCATGTTGATTGTTAAGATGCACTAATGAGGTCAGGTCATCAAAGACATGAAGTATTACCATAGACCTCACCTAAAAGATGTAGTATAATTTGTACTTATTTTATAGATACAAAACTTGGATTTTAATTGTGATTTTGTGTTTTTTTTAATATATCAGCTTTAAAAAAAAAAAGAAGTATGCCAAACATGTGATCTCTGGTTATGCAAAATATGACCACATGATGCCAAAAGGCAGGTGTCATGTTTCCTCTTCAGTTTTTCTATATAACTGATGTATATGGTTTAACATTTAAAAGGAATGTAAAGGGAACAGTTGCAGTCTTTTGTCATTTTGGCAAGTTATTTTCTCCAGTCATCTGTTGTACACAATGACCACCTGGAAGATATTTACTTACATGGGACAAGTTATTCAGTTTCCTCATGGAGCCTGAGGTGCTGGCACTTGAAGCCACAACCTTGTTATTGTGGTCTTAGTAATAACGTAGCTATGTTCTGCGAGAGCACGATTGTGTGTGTATGTGTGTGTGTTTGTGTGGTTATTTCAAGCCCTGTAATAAAAGCAGATGCGTGGCTCCGGAACTATGACTGTTCTCAGGCATGGGAAGCTGATATGAGAGGATTGATGTGCTTGAAGGCATTTATTGCAAGAGGTCACTGAAGTCAGGAGCTTTGAATTCTGCCCTGCAAAACAATGACAAAATATCCTGACATCACACAACCCAATGCAACATTGTTATGTGTACGTTTTCAAAGGAATGCACACTGCAGTGACCTATTCAATTAAACTAACACAACTTCACAAAAATATGAAACATTTTTGGCCAAATGGGGCACGGGATTTACAGCATACATGTTTATTGATGTCAAAGAAAAAGTTTATTGTGTCAGATTTAGGAACCCCAGCTTCTTAACGTGATACAGGCAATATTTGTAATGGTTTTTGTTTGTTTACAGGGAACTTGTAAATGCTGTTGGCATGTGGTTAGAAGCCATTAAATGTCAAAGCCTTGTACATTTAACCCCAGTAAACATTGTCTATTTTAGCAAGATGCCATGCAGCAACTAATAATATTAGCGTGCCCAAAGACTTTATACAGGAAGACCTACAATTGTTTGCAAGGTTGCACTTAGTCATGCAAATAAAATTCTATCATTTATGACTTTCCATAATAGTCTCACAATATCCTCTGAAAGCGTGCAAGCATTTGCTTGCAGTAAAAGAGAAATTTGATGCCATGTGACAGTTGGCAAAGCAAAAGGATTGCATGTGAAGATAGAAAATGGAAACACAGTCGAGGCCTCACCGCATGGTCTATATGTGTTAATAAATGACATCCGCAGGGTTTTTCATGCATAGAGAATTATTTGGGCCCCCCAAAGAGGTTTTACCCTGCGCCAAAGGAAAATCAGGAGTGCCAAAAGAAAAAAAATGACGATTCAAATTGCAAATCATATCCTCCCTGAATGTATGTTAAAAATATCAATACATCAAACGACTGTTGAACAAGCAGAACATAAACTTAAATATTAATCTAGTAGTCATCTCCCCTCTCATCCATTTACGCATGTGGCTCGCGCTGGATAGCCAGCTGATTGACTGTTCGTATCTTTTGATTGGTTCCGGACGCTCCGCTGACACCCACAAGCGCTAAATGCGGGGTGATTTTCCGTTTGGCGAGTTAATTTCAAAGAGCAATCCTCTTAATGGCGGTAAATATTTATCCCAACAGATATGTTAAAACTATACTAAACTGCATATGATGTAGCAGCGGCTACTTGTCCCTGCTCCTCTGCTGTCTGCAGACTGGTCATCGCGGGGGCACGCCAAGACGAGACACACCAACCACCACGCTTACCTGTTTACTTGTAGTGCAACAGAACACGGTTGATCCGACCGCTATCCATATGGACCAAGTCGGGAACGCACATTCAACTTTTCTCCGTTCACTTCCACCGTGTCTGCTTTTATCAACAATCAATAACTTAACGATCGTAACATCAGCCAGCTGTAGTCTGTGAACTTCTCCACACAGACTGTCAAACAGCGCTGCGTTATAGTCAGCAAATATATTTTTATTATTTTTCAATTTCCTGATCTGATCAAATAATCCAAATTATCTGTGACTTAAATCTGTGATTATTTGACATAATACATTAGTAACTCAAATAAAAGTACTTTAACAAAATGTATGTAAATCGAAAACACAAAATAAAGCAAAAGAGCAGCCATCATAGGAAGAGGGTGAAATGCACTGGCAGGATGTGACCTCCCCTCTCCCAATCTCATTACACCCCTCTCCCTCAAAATCTCTCTCCTCCCATGTTTCACTGTTGCAATAAAAAATAATTATTTACCAGATTTAATTGGGGTTTCAGTAACTTAAGCATATTGATAATATTATTTATAAAATGGTCAGAAATAACAGGAAATGCATAGATTTCTGCCAAATAAGGTAATACAGACTCGTAGACTATACTGTTATAGGCGGTCGAACATTTACTGCAGCGCGTATAGTCACCCCCAAAAAGGCCCAATCTGAGCCAGGAAAAACCCTGCATCCGTGTTTCTATGTGAAATGTCTCAAACTATTGGATTAATTTATATTTATTGAATAAATTCTTTGATTTCAGAAAAATGAATGGCATTCCTAAACATCTCTAGTATTACCTTGTGCTGACGTGCTACTACAATGTTAAAAATGTTAGCATTACCTCCTAAACATCTGCTTGTGAACACTGATTTTGAATTAGCATGCTGTCATTTTGTTACATTTTACAAGGGCACAGAAGTGCCTCAGTACAGCTTCACTAAGTCACTTTTTGAGACTCGGACGAAGTCTGGAAATTGGTCTGGTAGCTGGTAGCTAACCAGTTCACTTCCTGAGCACTGCAGAGGTGCTCTTGAGCAAGGCACTGAGCCCCCCACCAGCTCAAGAGCGCTCGCTGCTGGCTGCCCCCTCACACTGATATCTGTCTAGTAGTGCATGTCCATCAGATCTTGTTTGTGCATATGTGGTTTTTTGATATATTTATGTGTGTGTAGCATTTTCAATAACAGTGTAAAATTCAGTTTCCCCTCACGGGATTAAAAAAGTACATCTTTTTAACCGATTAAAAATATGAAATATGCAAATAATACAGGTCACTGTAGGAAGGATTTATTCACATGTTGATATGATTAATTATTCAAACGCTAAAACACTTGGTTATGCATAAGATATAAGTGGTTATATCAACAACTCTCCAAGAGGTAGTCATTTTAGACATTTGTCAGAATGACAAAGAAACTATAGTCACAGCTTCGAGAAAAAGGGTCAATAAATAAGCAGTCCAGGCAAACATAATTAGTCTGACTCACAGGTGTCCCTTGTCAAGGTTCTAGTTCCTTCTAGCAGATTCGTTGAGCAGAATTTTACTCTACGATTGAACCAATCCTTTACTGGGGCTTTTAAAACCTATCCTGACTGTTATCAAGAGTTCCTGTTCATGTTTATCTTTATCCATTCTTTTACAAAGTTTATTTCAACACATTATTACAGTTTATCATGAAAAAGCACATATGGCAGCAGGTTTTGTTTTACATAAACAGGCATCTTGAGGTGTTCAGGCCAGCTGCATACATTTAATCTGTAGAAAGAGATGAAGAGAATTGTTCAAATATATACCATGGGGAGAGAATTTCAGATGTGCTAAATGTTTTTAAATGTTATTACCTTTAACAACAAGTTTAGATGAACACTCCACCCTGCCCAGAGGGTTTTCAGCCATGACTGTGTATTCCCCACAGTCCTTGGAATCGACTTTGAGAATCACCATTGAGCACACTCCACATGTGTTGGTGATGTAGTAGTTGGTGTTGGTGTTGAGGCTGACGTTATTTTTGTACCAGGTGACGTGGGGTCTGGGGTTTCCTGTCACCGCACAACTCATGTAGCATTCATAGCTCTCTGGACTATTGTGCTTTTTAAGAGGAACAGAGAATGCAGGGGGCATCTCAAAACTGCAATCCTTAGAGACAGGGAGGTTCAATGAAAATGTCTCTGGAAAGAGAAAAGAAAGAAAAGTTATTGGTCTTTAATCATTCCTATAAAGCCTATGCATCTACTCGTAACACGCAAAAACCCTTTTGGCAGCTTCTCAGAGCCCAAAGTGATATGTTTGTTTGATAGGTTCAAAGATGTTTAATTCATTGAGAATCAGAAAATCCTAACATTATAAAGCCTAGAACAAATGGTTCATATATGTTTTAAAGGAATTACATAATTAATTGATTATCAAAAGAGTTGGTGAATGTTTTGGCTGAAACTACATTTATAATTTATAGAGAAAATTCATCTACATTTATTCATAAATGGATTGATGCCTTTTAAACTACTAGGGCAGTGACTAAAATTATTTAAATTCTACATCAAGCTGTTGATTATTTTTCAGTCAATTAGTTTATTGTCTGTTCCATGAAAACTGAAAATCTGTAAACTTGAGTGAAGTATTTAGAGGCCAAGTTGATATCAAAAACTGAAAATGTTCTCTAGTTCTGCTCTATCAATGTTTGAAATGAGTTTCCAGTTGATCATTTTATGATCAATACAACACACTTCTGGATCACTTCTGAAAAAAACCTGCCTTTTGTTCTTTGTACTTCCCATGGAGCTGACTCAGAGGGTTTGGATAGCCCCATGTCATTCTTGGCATATACCCGGAACTTATACTGCCTTCCAGGCATGATGTTGATGGCAGTGAACTTATTGTTGAAGAGGTGGTCTGCCACAGTTTGCCAAGAACGTTTGACAGAATCACGCTTGGTGACAATGTAGTGCAGCCTGTCATCCTTCTTCTCATCTGGAGAGGGCGTCCAGGAGACTGTCACGGTTCCCATCACGTTCTCATCAAGTTCCACAGGGCCTGGAGGCTTTGGCTCATCTAAATAAAAAAAGATTATAATTTTCTTAATGTCACTATACTCTTACAAACTCTTCAATAAATTCTGTAGAAATGTTTGCATTTGTTATGCTCTTACTTTATTAAATATAACTAGAATATTTTAGAAATTAAAATTCATCATTCCAGAAATATGACTCGTTTTGCTTGCTCTGAAAACTAAAGAAACTTTAGAATATTACCCCCCCAAAAAATAAAAAAATAAAATAAAATGTATCACTTCAAACTCAAAATCCTTCAACACTCAAAAAACAGTTGTTAGGGATTAGGTCAGAATATTTTTTTCTTCACCGTACCTGTGACTCTTATCTCAACACTAGAGGTCTCTTGACCAACAATGTTCTTCACAATGATTGTGTAGATTCCAGTGTCATGACGTTCTGATGCAGCAATGATTAGCTGTGATGATGTGTCTGTGTTGCTCACTGTCACATGCTTGGCCACGGGAAGACCGTCCTTAAGCCAATTAATAATTGGTACAGGAGAGGCCTGTCAAGAAAAGAAAACAGGGATAATTTTTGATTTGTTATCCTTTTTTTAAAGAGCAATAAAGGTTTATATCCAACTCTAGAAATTACCTAGAATAAAAATACTTGATGGTATTATACCATACCTGAAAGTTAAAGTTGATGCGAACAGAGTTTCCAGCTCTCATCACCATGAAGTTCTTTATTTTTTTGTCAGTGAATTGAGGTTTCACTGTGACAAAGTGGAAACATGTCAAGACAAAATCAGTACAAAAAAGGGATCCCTTTAAAGTTATACATATTAAATTGTTGCTGTAGACAGTATACATTTTACATTGACTCACCTGGAGGAGGCATTGCAATGATGTAGTTGTCCAGCTCTTGAGGCTCACCATCTCCACCCTCATTAGTGGCTAAAACTCTTACCCAGTACATGGCCATAGACTTCAGACCCATAATAGTATAGGAGTTCATAATGATAGCAGTGGAGTTACAGCGACCCCATTCCGGGTCTTCTGCTGGTCTAAGCTCCACAAAGTATCCTTTGGCCTCATCTTGAACCCCTTCCTCCTCAGTGGGTTTGGTCCAGCCCAGTGATAAAGTGGTGTATGTGGAGTCTGTCACTTTCAGGTCAATGACTTTACCAGGGGGCTCTGAAAGTGTAAACAATTAAGCCTCTATGACAAATAAAGCACTGAGAAATCACATCCGTTTAACCCTAACCCTAAGCGGCATTACTCACTCTTTGGATCTCTTGCAATCACAAATTCAGAAGGTGTACTTGGCTCTCCAGCACCAGAAATGTTGATAGCTGATACACGGAACTCATACTCAATGCCTTCAACGACGTCCTTCACTGCATACTTTTTCTCTGTGGACATGTCAAAGAGTAGAGTTAACATTATAGAATAGCACACTCCTTTCTTAGTGTAGAATGACATTTCACCTCAAACTACAGTTGTGAAAATGCCTGACCTTTAATGGGCTGATCCGGTGGATTGACTTGACTCCACAGATTACTCCCATTCTTGCGTTTCTCAATGTTGTATCCAAAAAGGTTGGTTCCTCCAGTATTGGTAGGTGCAGACCAAGCAAGATTGATACAGTCTTTGAAAGCACTAACAATTTTTGGCGTAGAGGGAGCTCCAGGGTATGCTGAAAGAATAATTAAAGTGCCACTTTGTTACTGGTTCACTTTTAAAAAAAATTGTAGACTGCAACGCTGTATGGGAAACCATGAAAGAAGGCTAACCTTTTGTCCCTGCCTGAATGTCGTCAGTCTCCATCATTTCACTGATACCATAATCAGTTTCTGCCCTGATGTGGTAGCAGTACTTTCTACCATGATCCACGTCAGAATCCCTGTATTTAGGCTCTGGGCCAATCTTGCCTAATTTCTTCCAGCTGTTGCGTCCAATTTGCTGGCGCTCCAGGATGTAGTCTGTGATAGGGGAACCTCCATTGTCTTTTGGGGCCCTCCATTTGAAATCAATGCAAGCTGAAGAACTTTCAATGATATCCTCTGGGCCGAGGGGTGGTGTTGGTTTATCTGTAGTAAGAAAAAGAATAGAGATGTAACTTTGGTAACAACTAAGAGCCCATAGTTTTTAACATGTAGTGCATCAACCATACCTAATACAACAAGCTGTGTGATGGCTTCAGTTGTTCCACACTCATTTTTAATCTTGATCTTAATTTCTCCTGTGGTTTTGCGTTGGCACTTGGTTAACAGCAGGCGGCTGTGTGAGGAAGACTTTTCGATCTTGATATGGGTGTCCTCCAAAAGCTCGTCACCCTCATTGTACCACTGTATCTTCAGTGGTTCCCGGCCAAGAAAAGTGACTTTGAAAGCTGCATCTTTCCCAGTTTTTATTGTAACAGGTTTTATGAACTCAGGGAGGTCCTCGGGGGTAATTCTGGGTGGATCTAGAGAATTAAACACACCTCTTTACAAACTGAGAATTGTCTCACACAAGTTTCCAGTTGTTTTGTTTTATGTTTCAATGGATAACTTCAAATTGATTCTGATGAAAATAAAGTACCTTCAACTTTCAGCACAGCCTCTGTTTTACGGCCATCGGCCTCACATCTGTACTTTCCAGCATCATCTTCTGTGCAGTTTTTGATAATTAGTTTGCGAAAGGTCCCATCTTTTACAATACAGATATTATCTGTAGCTGTTATCTGAAACACACATAAACATATACATACATACACAGTTAAGAGGGGTTAAAGGTGACATCTTTTTCTTTACCAACTCTTAAGTTGTTCACCTCTTCTCCTTCTTTGTACCAGACTCCATCACATTCCTCATTGCTCAGCCTGCAGACCAGTTCTGCATTAGTCCCAATAATGGTGGTTACATCTGACAGACCGCTGGTGAAGTATACTCCTTGTTCTAAAGGAAACATACCCTTATTGTCAACAGGGAACACTTAAAAACAACAACAAAACAGAAAAAAAATATTTACAATTGGTTGATGTATCTTACCAATGACTGTATCAGGGACAAGTGGGCCATTTCTCACTCTTTTTCTTTTCTCTTGAAGTGGCTCCTCTTCTTCAGTGTCAGCAGGAGCCTCTCCTTCCTTTGTTTGTACCTTTTTCTTGGGCTCTGAAGCCTCTTCCTCTTCATTTTCCAGCTCTTCATCCTCCTCCTCCTCCTCCTCCTCCTCCTCTACAGCATTGGTTGCATCTGCCTTATCTTCCCCTCCTGCTTTTGCCTTTGCCTTGGCCTTTGTTTTAGTCTTCGTCTTTCCATCTGTTTTTTCCTTTGGTTTTGCTTTGGCTTCTGCTTTAGCTTTAGCTTTGGCTTCTGCTTTGGCCTCTGCTTCTGCTTTAGCTTTCGCTTCAGCTTCTGCTTTTTCAGCTGCTGCTGCTTCTGCCTCAGCTTTTACTTTTGCAATTAACTCATCTCTCTCTTTTTGTACCTTGGCCTGTTGCTCCTGAGCAATCTTCAAAAGCTCAGGTCCACCACCTCCTGCTCTGGTTGTTTTGCGAGCTTTCTTCTTCCCTTTTGGATCTTTGTCCGCTAATTTAAAAAAAGATAGTTACACAACTCTTGTGAGGCTTCATGGAAATGTTTCAATGTTTCTAAATTTATGTTAAACGTAAAGGTAATTGCAGTTTAAAAATAAGAAACAGTACCTTCCACAATAAGCCATGCACTGCAGGATGCCATTCCAGTCACCGCCGCATATATTCCTTTGTCCAATGGAACGCAGTCCTTCACCACCAACGAATGAATCAACATGTCCTCGGACACCAGGATGTCATATTTTTCCCCTTGCTCAAGTGTGACATTCTTTCCCATCCAAGTTATCTTTTTCAGGGGGTGTGAGATAACACACTCAAAAACAGCATCCTCTCTCTCCTCTGCTTTCACATCTTGAATCTTAACCAGGAAGTCTACAGGGGGAACTACACAAAGCAAAAAATGATAGATTAACATGGTATTGCTTCTTTCCCTTCAAAGGCCGACTTATTCAGCAATTGTTGCTCTTTTGGGTTGTGGTATGGCATCATGTAAATGTTGGAAGTATGTAGATCATTGCTTCAGTGTTGGTCTTACGTTTGAAATCTGTCGAGAAGATCTTAACTCCATCAACCTCAACTTGGTATAATCCTGCATCCTCAGCATCAACACCATTGATGCTAAACACAAACTTCTTTCCCACTTGCTTCAGTCCATGTTTTATATCTGTGTCTGCATCAAAGGGAATCATGACTCCATCCTGTTTAAAAGAGAAGCAGAGGGAAATGTCAAAGCAGCATTCAACATTAAAACAAAGGTCTTTTAAAAAAAAAAACAATGAATAAACTTCATACCTTGAACAAGAAGATTTTGCTTGTAGGGTCTCTCATTGTCATTTCAAGTTCAAACTCTGCATCACCATCAGATTTCAGTTCAATAGGCTTTAGATTGCAAAGCCTTTCAACAACCTACAGTAAGTGGGATGATGTAAAGAGAAGTAGACACTGTTAATGTTTGGGCATCAGAGTTTGTATTTCTTTATTCAGGCATTCCTTCATATTATTACAGATGATTGGAAGTGGGTTGGTTTATTCTTAGATGGAGATTAATATGAAACCCACCTTTTCCTGCTGGTGCTCTCTTTCAATCTTCTTCTCATTTAGTTTTTTCAACATCCCACGAAAGTCTGTGACACCATACTGAGCACAGATGCTTTCATAATCCCTCTTGTCAGCACTCATCAACAGTTCCCAAAACTTGTTATCAATTTCTGTTTTTGTATCTTCTTTTGCATCAATATCAACGCTAGAAAAGGAAAATAATTAATTAAATACAGGGCATTGACATACATGGCTACATGACGTCATCGGGGTGCAAAGTTTTCAGCGACCTGTGGCTTGCATGTACTTGTAATTGGATTTGATCATTAATAGATTTACTACATACTTATGTTTCAAGGCCTTTTTGAAGTCCTCTGGTATCTCTCGGATAGCTACCAAAAAAAAACAACAGCACTGACAAACCTTTCAACTAATGATTTACTGACAATGCATTATAACAAATGAAATGTAGACTTTTTACCTGTTCTTGATTCTTGCATGGCTCTGCTCTTTTTGAAGCCAACTAAAATTGAAAAAATTAAAAATAAATCATTTTTCTCTAATTTCTTCTTCTGAATTAGTTCTGACTTGCCACATAATGGAATTAAAAAAACGGAACTGACCCTCAATAACATTAAGTGTAGCAGTCACAACAGCTTTTCCGTACTCATTCCTGGCATAACACTTGTAGGTATCAGCTAGATCCACGCATACGTCTGGCATCTATCAATCGTTGCATGATTATCAGTTATTTGCAAAACATGGATATTGTAAGAAAATTATCATTCTGTTTGTTTTATTTATCAACCATGTTTTATCAAGTTATGGTATGTGATCCCACCTTTAGTTGGTACTCTCCTGAACTTTTGTCATGGATGATTTGACACCTTTCTTCATTAATTTCTCCATTATTTCTCGCCCAGGTGACGGTAGGTGTTGGTTTACCAATAATCACTGCTTTGAAGATAATCGGTTTTCCTACAGAAATGGTAACAAGAATTTCATGTTGTCTTTAAATAGTGTTCATACAAAAAAGTCAAAAAGGCACACACATCCGAGAAAGTTTAAGTACTAGGTGCTGGACAAAAAACATCCAAAGATAGAAAAAGTACTGAGTCCATACACCAGAAGCTGCTCCATTTAAATTGAATTTAATGGAAAAATCACATGTAATGTTTCTGGGCCCTTGTCTGAACTTTTTCTATCTTTAAATAGTCTAGAATAGTGTGATGAGTAAAAACATTTTGCCTTACCTTCTTGTATGGTTATAGAAATGGGTTTCCGGGTGAAATCTGGGGTGGTCATGCCTTCAGGAAGTTCTTCCACATACTGGGTTATCATAACTCCAGGCACTTTTGACCTCTTTTTTATTTTCACTATCAATAAATGAGCAAAAAAATGAATTTACAATATATGAAGTAAAGTGAATATTTGAAAGCTTTACCAATTATTTTCATAATATTGTGAAGGTTTTGCTCCATGCAAAAAGTTCTAATCAAGTGTTTGATGGTGTGGCAATAATGTACAGATGATAGTAAAAACTAAGCTAGTTACTTACCCTGGCCCGGGGCCGTTGGCTCCTCGTCCTTAGCTTTACGTATTTTAAACATCTTGATTCAGAAAACAGCTAACTGTAATACAGAAATATGATAATTAGTTCAATTTAAACACCCTTTACGATTTTTTAAACAAAACTGTTTAGTTCCCTTACATCCTTTACAGACAAGGAATAGTTAAGAAAAAAACTCAATACTACAGAAAGTATGCTCTGATTGTTGATTGCGTTGTTTGTAATGTATATTTTCATTTTACTCTTAAAATATGTTTGAAATAATTATAAAAATGACATGAAAATGAAGAATGGAAGTGTAAGAATCTCATGTTTTTCACAAAGATGATTTAATTTGTGCTATAAACGGTTTTGACAAGCAGTGAAATTAGCTCCTAAAGCTCCTGTATTATATATGGAGTCCCCATGGATTATTACACTTGAATATATATTTTTATGATTACAGTGATCATTGTCCTAATTGGCTTTAAAATGGTTTTAAAATAAGATCATCTTTAAGAGGACAAGTATAGGAAATGGAGGGGAAAAAATGATGTGAAGCTCACAACTTGCACGTGTTAACTTTTCTTTGTCTTTTATTGTTTCACCTACTTCTTTAAATTATGTATTGCTTTGAAGAAACAAACACTAAAAACAAGGAGAGAAATTACAAAGCTAAATTTTCAGTCGTCAAGTTACAACACTTCCTGAGTTATGATAGTTTTATGAGGTATGTGACCTACTGCCTGCAAAATTAGGCTGGCCACTTACAGGAATCTACAGACGGCAAGGGAAGTATTTTGGCATTTTGTGATCACAGAAATTCTTCCATTTACAGCACAGATAGAGTTACTAACTCAAGAATCCCGACACTAGTTGTGATCTTAATCTCATTGTTCAACACTCCAAGATCCAAAATGCAAGAAACTACTAATGCTTGTGTTTACTGTGTACTAATGTTTTGTGATATGAAGGAGGTTTGAGGGTGATTTTAAATTCATTACGACTCACCAGGGATTCGTTTGACTCAAAAGTAAATCATCATCATGTTGCAAAAGTGAGCAAACTGCCTTTAGCCACTACTCAAAAAAACAAGTGATACCCATTTGATATTCACAACACCTTGATAAGATCCACTGAAAGACAGACTGATGGAATGGTCAGTTACTAACGGTGACCAAGACCCATGCTGACATTTCCTCACTACAGGGACATTTTAAGACCTGTTTGGCATTGACTAAGGAACAAATAATATAAATCACTACACTTAAAGTATGTAAGGATGAAGTGAAAAAAAAGTATCCAGTCCTACCCCTTTTTTTCTTTATAGCTTTTTTAAGTTTATCCAAGGCCAGCGCTTTACAAAAATAAAGAAAACAGATATGTAAGTAACAAAAGCAACAAATATAATCTATTTCACACATTAATGGTAGACAGTGCATACCTAACAACTGATATTGATTCCAATCTTCCGTTATATATCAGTTATATATGTTATTCTGGAAAATTTGTTTCGACGTTCCTAATGTTTCACATGTTTTCATTTCCTCACTGCAGCTGTTCTTTAATTAACCTCTTCTTGTGATACGGTGTAGTTTCACTTTGGGCCTTACTGATGTTTTTTTAACATAAATATTCATCGGAGATTGAGTTTACTTTCCCTCTGCTGACAAAAATTAATGATGTATTTTTTATCAGCACCAACTATGTAATCTTCTGTCAATAGAGCAATATATATTCTTCACCATTCATCTGAAAATATCTCTTTATTATAATCTCTTAAATATATTGGTGGGAGCCTTTTGTTCTTAATTCATCTCAATAATCTCTTCAACTTTTAATATTATATTTACAATCTTGCTGAGATCTGTTGTGTAATAAAATACCGGCATATTCAGCAGATTTAAACACTTGGTTTGCGTCTGTGAAGCTATATGTGTCTGACAAAAATAGCTTTGCCCAGGGTGTTATGAGTTAACTGATTTATGAATGCCTTGTCGGGAATGTGGCCTAAATTTCCACACTGCATTCAGTGGCACAGCACAGATTTTAAATGTCAATTTTAGGTGACAAAAAAAGAAAAAATATTCTTAAATTAATCTTGGCAGGATTATGCAGCTCTTCCACTACAATACAATGTCTAAAGTATATTTCCCAATCATTTTCCTTATTTACATTTTTATTTTTTATTTTCCAGATTAAATTATTCTTGTAGCCTTTAAACATTTTAATATTTAATCTTGTAAAACTTAAAACATTGTTAAATAATATAAAGTGCAGTCAGCATTGTTAGCCCATTTCTCTATTGTTAATTAGATAGACCTCCTTAACACTTCTATTGAAGGTCAATACAAGGCAACATGTAGACATAAACTTAGTCCATAAATCAATGCATATTAATACAATCAATAGAATTTGTTATGAAATGTGAAACCATACTAGCAGCTCTGCAGTACTTGGTAAATGTACTTACTCTTTCCTTATGAAGTAAATGGCTGTTGTCTGAAGTCCGTTGCAGTCAGGTTGCTGCTGATTCTTGAGTGTGGACTCTTCGTTTTGAGAAGCAATAAAGTCTTTCAGAGACACTCACAGCAGCCTAAGCCAATGCTTTTTCACTGGGGCTCTAGGGGATAGGTTTACTGACATGCACTTTGGCCTTAAAGTGCTATAGGTTCTTGAAAAGGGGGCACCAAAGAAAATGCAGCAAAGAAGCTCCCTAATCCCTCCCTCAAAACTGGAATTTCAGCTGTAGTTCAGCTGCAGGGCGCTTTTGACTGCTCTTTTTTAAAAAGTCTTGAGATGTGACACAGAAGTGCTCGTGCCTGAGCTGCCTCTCCTTTGACTAAATTGCCATGTAGGCTCTCTTCATGATCATCACATTTAACTAGGAGGTAAGTGTCAATTAAGTAATTATTACTTTGTTAGTTTTAAGATTTTTTCTAAAATGTGTCTTCAAATGTCAAATTTATGACACAGTTTTATGCTCAAAGATAATCCAAGAAATGTGTTATTTTGCACGACTGTTCACATTCAATCAGACTCTGATCATGACATATAAGGCTAGAACCAAACATAATCAGCTAAATCTCATTGTGATACAAATGATTCAAGTGTAAGTTTAAGAGTTTTGAATCAAACAGAAGTAAGTTATAGTGCCGTTTATTTTAGCATTGTACTTGTCTTTGAAACTGAGAAGTGTCACCCTGCACTGGTCAGTCATGTTCAAGCCCTTGGTGCAACTGTTGACCCTTTCTTCTTCAGTGACTCTAAATTTGGCTAAATCTGACTCTTCAAATATTTTCAAGGAGGTAACACAAGAAGACTGGACATAAATTATTCTCATAAACCTTCATGCAGGTAGACAAGTGGTATGAATTTGGATACCTGCTTGCTGTGTCAGTGTGTGACCCAGGGTTGCAATATATACCAAGTTCTATCAGCATACAGTATATGTACAACATTTTGTAAAATAACCCTTGTATTGTTACACATGTTTGGCTAGTGTTTTTACAATGTGGCGTAGAAGTTTAAAAAAATGAAAATCACAACAGAAGAATGATTTGTTTATTTACATTAATTGTATATGCATTAGCACGAGAACAGCCTAAAACAAGCAGATTGTTGTCAACATTTTCTTGTCAATAAGGTTATTCTCTTAGTTTTATTTACGGGAGGATTTCAAATGCACAATAGCAAAATGATATAAATCTAAGTCACTATAAGAATGAATGGAAACATGCATCTTAAAAGCTGAAAACAAACCTGTTTAAAAACCAAACTCAACTTAAAATTCAAAGAATCAATGCCAAGCAGTATCCACTACTGTGCTTTTTTCTGTTTAACATGCATGTTACATTTATTATATGCCATGAAGAAATATCATTAGTGTGTCGAGCATATTTTTTATTGGGATTGCACTGCTTACATCAAGACAAACAAGACATGAGTTTGGCTGGATGTGTCCGTTTTACTCGGACTTACTTAGCGGGAAATCATTTATCAAAAAGTAAGCAAACTTTTAAGAGACATTTAAGAGGGTTTGCCTAACTCTAAAGATGCAGATTGTGAATAAGCAATGACTGGACTCTGTTTGGGTCGAAAGCAATTCTGCCGTTTCCAGGGTGCTCATTTATTCTGGAAGAAAAAGGGGGAAAAACAAATGTGTGTTTTTACGATCCTTAAATTATGACATTCATACCAATGCAGAATATATTGACAACATTTTTTGAAAATGTACACTCCTTTAAACACTTACCTCTGACTGTCAGTTTGGTAGAGCACTCTGCCCTCCCAATGGAGTTTTCTACAACAATCTTGTACTCCCCCATGTCTTTAGGGCCAACCCTCAGTATGAGCAGAGAACAGACTCCACATGTGTTGGAGATGAAGTAGTTGGTGTTGGTATTCAGACTTACGCCGTTGCGGAGCCATGTCACATGAGGTGTGGGATCTCCTTTTATGGCACAGCTCATGTAGCATTCATACCCCTGAGGAGCGGTGTGCATTTTCAGTGGGACTAGGAACTTGGGAGGACACTCTAAATTACAGACCTTTGATTCTGGCATGTTCAAAGTGAATTTTTCTGGAAGAAAAAAAGATAGGCATTGATCAAGTCACAATTGTTATCAACCAACAAGAGAACATGATTCAACAATGGCTTGATTTGGTACAGGTACAGTTTGATTTAAAATGCCGTATGTTCTGTCCCAATTTAAGCACTATACTTTTTCACCATAGAAATAATATTCACCTCCTGTTTTTTGTTTGTTGCAATAGGGAAAAAAAATGACAACTTGTTTGAAGTTCCAAAATTGTATGAACAGCCATCGTTCAGTGTGACGATTTTATCAAGTTAGTAAGTCAAATTCCATCAAAACTTATGCTTATACTTATACTTATAAAACTTATACTTAAGCTGAAAATCAACACGTTGTGGTACAGTCTTCACAAAGAGATGCAAGAAATGCTGTAATGTACAAAAGCTGCATGAGTTAAAGGTGAAAACCAGGGCTGATCTTCAGACTTAGGTGTGACTCAAAGGATTATTTTGTTGTCCCAAAACCTTTTTGTTTGTACCTACAGTATACACCAATGCCTGTTTTGTGGGTGTCATTGCATAATAAAAAATGTATAAAATCATACAAAAACAATTAGGTGCGTTAAACAGTACATGTGTCGTCCACTGCCATAAAACTTACCCTTTTTGCTTGCTATGAGCCACTTGGGTGATTCAGAGGGTTTGGACAAGCCCATGTCATTCTTAGCATAGACTCTGAACCAATATTCTCTACCCGGCAATATATTGCAGGCTGTGAATTTATTGTTGAAGATATGATCCGCAACGGTGTTCCAGGTTCTTTTACTTGAATCACGTTTAGTGACCATGTAATGCAGCCTGTCGTCACGTTTTTCATCAGCAGATGGGGTCCATGAAACGGTCACTGTGCCAGGCACGTTTTCGTCAATATCCACAGGGCCTGGTGCTTTAGGCTCATCTGAAGTTAAAATACAAGATACATTTATTTTCCTTTAATCTGGATGGAATGGGAGGAAACCATTTATAAACAAAAGATACTTAACTTACCCGTGACTCTTATTTCTACGCTGTGTGTTTCTTGACCAACAATGTTCTTGACAACGATAGTGTAGATTCCAGTATCTGTGCGTTCAGATGAAGCAATCAGAAGCTGGGATGAGCCCTCTGTATTGCTGATGGTCACCTTTTTGTGCACTGGCCCTCCATCTTTCAGCCAGATCACATCAGGCCAAGGAGAGGCCTACAAAGAATAAGAAAATGTAATTATGGTAAACCTTCTACAGGACCAAATAAAATCCCGAAATGCATTCAAATAATGTTACAAGGGTTTATCGATGAATAATTACCACAAAGTTAATGTTGAATCGTGCAGAGTTTCCAGCTCTCACCACCATGAAACTCTTTATTTTGGCATCCGTGAAACGTGGTCTCACTAGGTAAAAGCATGATGGAAATGTTCTTTAATAATGCTCTTAAACAATTCATTTTGTTCCATAATATTTTTGAGCATATACCCAGACATATGAAGTTAAAACATCAACCTTTTAACTTATGTGCCCAATATTGTGTTGATTAAAACACAATAGTATAAAGAATTATATCTTTTGAACATGTACATTCCATATCTTGATTTCATAAACCAAATGTGCCGTTGGATCCTTACTTGTGTCACGAGATACTTTGAAACAAAGTATTCAAGATCATTTCCAAATGTAAATGCTGATATACTACAACTCACCCTGTAGTATTCAATGTGTTTTACAGAACCAACTAAAGGACATTTTCTTACCAGGAGGGGGCATCGCAAGGATGTAGTTATCCAGTAGCTGCGGCTCTCCCTCTCCTCCATCATTAGTAGCAATAGCTCTCACCCAGTACATTCCCATCGATTTCAAGCCTTTCACAGTGTAGAAATTCAAAGTTATTGCATTGTTATTGCAGCGATCCCATTCAGTGTTTTCTGCAGGCCTGATCTCCACAAAGTATCCCTTGGCTTCATCCTCGCCCCCCTCAACCTCCTTGGGTTTTGTCCAAGCAAGGGATAGAGTTGTGTAGGTTGAATCTGTCACTTTGAAATCTATCACTTTACCAGGAGGCTCTAAAAGACATGATTCACAGTCAGTGCTGCAATACAACATTTATATGAAATATGGACAAAACAACAACTATTATAATATTTCAAAATGTCCACCTACTTTTAGGGTCTCTTGCAAACACAAACTCAGACGGTGTACTAAATTCACCAGCTCCAGAGTTATTGATTGCTGACACACGGAATTCATACTCCATGCCTTCAACCACATCTTTAACTCCAAATCCTTTACCTGTATGAGAACAGTAAATATGCAATATAGGAATTAAAACATGAGAATAAATGTGAGATCTTTACGTTGGTATTTAAATTGGCTGTCAAAATATGAACAAACACTTTTAAATCAACAAACGATATAGTAACCTTTGATCATGTCATCGGGGGGATTTACTTGGCCCCAAAGGTTGCTGCCTTTCTTGCGTTTCTCAAGGTTGTATCCAAGAATATTAGTTCCTCCAGTGTTGGCTGGAGGAGACCAAGAGAGGGTGATGCAGTTCTTGAAGGCAGTGACCACTTTTGGAGCTGATGGAGGTCCAGGGAATGCTGTACCCAAAAAAAAAAAATGTCACCAATAAATGACTTCTTGGTGTAAAAGGCAGATTAGCTTTGCTTGAGTTGATCACAAAGTGGGAATCACAAACACGTCTTCTAATAAGATTTAAGACAAGATTTACTTTTATTGATCCCCGCAAGAGGGAATTTCAGTCACTCTGTAGTCATGCAATACACACATAGGCTGAAGTATATACACACACGCTCACAAACAGGATCCTATGGACATGCACTAATGGAGAGATGTCAGAGTGATGGAGCTGCCCACAGTGGGCGCTCCTGAGCTGGTGGTGGGGAGGGGGTGTGGTGCCTTGCTCAAGGGCACCTCGGCAGTGCTCAAGAGGTGATCTGGCACCTCTCCAGCTACCAGACCAACTTCCATACGTGGTCTGCACCAAAAGCACTGTATGGTGGAGGCTTGGTAATAGAGAGACAGACCCAGCCCATATGAGCAAATTGCAAGTGCTATATAGTCACAAAATCACACTTCTATTTACGTTTCTTTTATTTCCAGTACATTATAATAAGCATTGTAGCATAAGGGCTGTGTTATGTGTTGTTGTTTGTCGTTGGTGTTGCACTGTTTGTTTGTCTCCATCCATCTCTTTCTTCTCCATCTCCATATATCCCACCTATAAGCCTATTCCTATGCCCAACACAGTTGTGGCAGATGGATGTTCAACGTGAGTCTGGTTCTGCTCAAAGTTTCTGCCTTTTAAAATAGAGTTATTACTTGCCACTGCTACTTTGCTAAATGTTGCCAAGTGCTTTGCTCATGGTGGATTAATGTTGGGTCTCTGTTAAAAAATATGACCTGCTCATTATGTGAAGTATCATGAGATAGAAATGTGTTTTGAATTGGCGCTATACAGATAAACACTGTTTTTTGTTTTTAACTGATTGATTGATTTATTTATCTTCAGCCTTTTTTGGGGGGAGCAATATATACAGGCAGTGGAGGGTAAATACAACTGGATAGGCAACATAACTGAAATGTTTCAAACACTTCCTCCATTAGGACCCTGGTACTTCACATGTCAACACTGGCATTACAATTTGCCATTGGTCAACGATTATACAGTAATCCTCTCTGCTAACCAAGGACAACTTTGACTGGAGAGTTCTGTGAGAAGGTATATTCCAATGATATTTATATTTCTTTTGATGTGAAGTACAAAAAATTGGAAATGCCTTTTAAAGGTGGTATCCATAAGATAACATAACGCGATAATATTGGACTGTACCTTTTGTTCCAGCTTGGATGTCCTCTGTTTCCATCAGCTCACTGGTGCCTATTTCAGTCTCCCCTCTGATGCGATAGCAGTACCTCCTACCATGGTCCACATCAGAGTCTTTGTAATTTGCCTCTGGTCCAATTGGACCCACCTTTTTCCAGGTGTTGCGGCCGACTTGTTGACGTTCAAGGATATAGTTGTCTATCTTGCAGCCACCATTGTCTTTTGGAGGTCTCCACTTAAACTCAATTGTAGAGGAGGAGGCTTCAACAATCTCCAAAGGTCCCAGTGGAGGAGTAGGCTTATCTGTTAAAAAAAAACAAAAAAACAGGTTTACAAATTTGTGGGCCGCGAAACAAAAAACGACCTACTCAGAAACTGGATAAAACCTATAAATACACACCAAGTACCACAAGCTGGCTGACAACCTCAACAGTGCCAAACTCATTTTTCAGTTTCATCTTGACTTCACCACTGTCCTTGCGCTGAAGCTTGGTAAGAAGGAGACGGGTGCAACCTTCTGAGTGTTCCAGCTTGATATTCGACTCATCTGAAAGCTCTTCACCCTCAAGGTACCACTGAACCTTTATAGGCTCCTGTCCGATATAGGACAATTTGAAGGTAGCTTTGTGTCCTTTCTTCACCGTTACAGGGGTTTTAAATGCTTCCATTTCCTCAGCATCAAACCGTGGTGGATCTACAATAATTGATAAAGCAATACGGACAGACATGTTAAGCAGTGAGATGCTACTTATGTAGTTCAGTGAAATTTTACAATATTGAAAAATACATTTTTATCAGAATAGAGACATCCCTTGCAATTTAATGATTAATGCAATAGTTAATGCATTTTCAAGAAATGTTTTTTTTTTTTACCTTCAACAACAATCAAGGCTTCTGTCTTCCTCCCATCTGCTTCAAATTTATATTTTCCAGCAAATTCCTCTGTTACTTTGTGAATTTTCAGCTTGTGGAAACTTCCTTCTTTTGAAATGGTTATACCCTCAGCTGATTTAACCTGTAATTAAAGTCATATCATTGTTAGAGAAAACCACAGAGTCTCACCTGAGACTCTATTGGAGATATAGCCCCAAAGCCTTCATTCTATTCATTGACAACATTCAGAGCTGAGCTTACCTCTTCTCCATCTTTGTACCAGATACCTTCACATTCTTCACTGCTCAGTTTACACTCCAGCTCTGCTGCTTCTCCCTTAATGGCTTTGCAGTCGGAAAGCCCGGCATGAAAGTGAACTCCTGGGTCTGAGGATTTATCAACCAATAAATTACTGAATGGACACGGCCAACAGCTAAAATCTGTGTCAGTTGTTTTTTTAGTTGTTTCAAGTTTTTATATTTGTGGATCGACATTTACAAAGAATTGAACACCTACCTTGTCCTTTGAATCTTACATATCACGTATTTTACAATGAACATGGTGGAAAATATATGTTTCAATACAGATAAATGTAAGGGCTTTCTGAAAAGATTATATGGTGTAAGAAGAGCAGAATTTGCATTCTTTTCAAACTTGAGGATGTTTTCTTGGTCAATGAATAGCAGACTGTCTTGTTTGGGAGTTTCCTTCAACTTGAAAACTTGCAGAGTTGAATCCTTGGCACAGTTCATAAGAAATACAACATGACTTTCAATGCTGATTGTCTCTTGAGAGAAATGGGCACTATTAAGACATCAAGACATCAACTATCCCTCATAAGACTGGCAGTTCCTTGTCGAAGAAATGAGCACTTTGTCTGATCTGAATTTTGTCTTCAATGTGCAGACATTTGTTTATAGAAGAATCATCCTCAAAGTCATGTTCGGTTGTCTTCCATCTTCAGATGCTGTACAGTAAGAGTGTGTCTACACACAAGCAGTGTAGTTATTTGATGAAGAACACAACCATTTTTCCAAGTGGTCATATAAGTAATCAACCTCAATGCACCGACTCATCCTGAATGATTATTAAGGGGCAAGCAATAATGTACACAGAGCACAGCAAGCAAAGCTTTTAAACATTACTTCCACGTACATACACACACATATTCAGCAAACACCATATGTAGGAGACAGAGGCAGACGTTAAAGTATTAAAATAAAATCGCCTGCTGATGTCCAACCTGGAAATAAAATAAGTTATCAAAAGTATTGTTGTCTACAAAGCAGAAGAGTTTCGATAACAACACTGCTAACAAGATAAATAATTCTATTGTGTTCAAGCAAAAGCTATTAGTGTGTCAAACTCAATTAGCATTTCTTAAAGCAATTGTCAAGGTTAAATTCACATTTTCTCTACTCTGATCATTGTAAGAGGCCACACAGGTTTAATGTCAACGCGTCAATCACTGGAAAAGTCACCTGCAAATCAAATGACTTTGGTCAGTGACGGTGCTTCCCATGCAGCAATTAGTGCAGCGCCAGTAATCTTACCACTAACTTTCTCCTCGATCAATGGGCCTTGCCTTGCACGGCCTGCACGCCTGCCAGCTGCCGCTGGCTCACTGCCGTCTGCACCCTCACCATTTTCAGCTGTTGCCCCGATGCCACTATCATCACTGGCACCACTGGCTTCTGTGGTTTATGTTTTTCAGTTTGAGGGGATATCATCTTAATTACCATCACTCCAATGTTTCTCATTTGATGTTGGTTATGCCTCACAGTTAACACTAATGAAAACGGTAACAATGATGGCAAATGATTGCAAAGCAACAACACAGAGCAACAACACAAGATCGGCAGAGACATAAATAACAAACACATTCAGCAGCATGAGGGACAAATAGATAAAGGGCTGATGTCTATATATTTTAGAATTCATCACAATGAATTTCATTGTAGCATATTATATACAGTGTTTGAGGTAAGTATATGTGAATGTACACATATGTATTTACAAGTATATACAGCAGCTCCTTCAGCAGCAGACTGAGACATCCACCCTGCATATATTTATAGTAGGCTACTATTTTATTATTACTACTGTATTTTTCTACTTATTTTTAATTACTGTAAATATGTTTGTTCTTAAATGTTTGCAATTTTTTTCTGATTGTACTATTTGAGCTGCTGTAACAATAACATTTCCCCATTGGGGGATCCATTTAGTTTATCTTATCGTATCTTCTTATCAGAAAAAATAAAAAATTTTGAACATTTCTTTCAAAACTTTTAAATTTTTCTACAGCCCATCCAAATGACACTTTAAAGCAAACCATACAATGTATTTAAAACTACAGATAGAAACAAACATAAAAGCAGAATATTAGACACACACACACAGAAATATAGAATGGATCTATATTGATTTGGGTAAAGGGTTAGCTAAGAATGCAGAATGTAGCATCGCATTAAAATGCTATACTGCTTTCTGTTTCTCAGGTGACCATAACAGCAAGTGCTCACAAAGACATGATATCAGGTGTTATTTATCAACTGGCTCAATGAGTACATTAAAAAGATGGTTATTACAAACAACTTTTGAATTTTGGGGGGCAGAAAAGTTTTTTCTTGGTGCTATGTTACTGAAATAAGTAAAACCATGCCACAGTCATACATGACTGTGATGACCTTTCAGAGAGAATCGTTTGATGATTACTCAATTGTTATAGCGCAGCAGTGTAGAGCTTTGCACCTTGTCAGTCAAAGGATCGGCGTTATATAGACTAATTTTGTTAATACAGCTGCATCTAGAATATCCTACTGGGATTTCAAAGTCATTTTTATTTCACAATGACTTTATTCATCAGTAAATTATCTGCAGCATGCATCCTCATACAACTCTTACCAACAACAGCTTCTTCAACCTCCACATTTCTCTTTTTGGGACGTTTTCCTTTTTTCCCAGAACTTTCACCTTGTTCATTTGTGGTTTCCTCATCATTATTATCTCCTATTAGTGATAATAAATAGCAACTTTATTCAGAATGGCATTCTTCGTACTTTCATTACGCTACTGTTATACTTATTTATGACTTCATTTTCCTACATTAAAGTGATATACTGTACTTATCAGTTGAAGCTAGTTTCAGTCCTAGTTGTGCCCTTGAATTGATTATATATTTGTGATTCATTGTTAAAGTATTTCTAGGGTACAAGACTTTTATGAGAACCTCGATATGATACACAACACAGTTGAAAGACGTAGAAGAAGAGTTAAAGAAGAGACCTGGCTCAAAACACAGAAAACAGAAACATACAGAAAATACAAAGCTTCGACTGTTCCCATTAATAATTATTATAATGATTCCAAAATTTAGTTCAGATTTATGTCTATAAATTTTTTTTCACCCTGACAAGCATTCAGGAAAATGATCAGCTAAATGTTGGAGGTAATTAATGCTGAAAGCTGCATACAGTGTAGAAGAACTTACCTGTAACTGTGTCAGGAACAAGGAGACCATCTCTCACACGTTTCTTGCGTTTTCCTCCTTTTCCACCTCCTTCTCCGCCCTCTTCTCCTTCTTCTCCTTCTTCTCCTTCTCCACCCTCTCCGTCTTCTCCTCCTTCTCCCCCCTTGCCTCCTTTTCTTCCTTTTCTTCCCTTTCTTCCTTTTCCTCCCTCTCCTCCCTCTCCTTCCTCTCCTTCTTCATCCTCAGAGTCAAAATCCGAATCATCAAATGAATCAAAGTCCTCTTCCCCATCAAAATCTTCTCCTTCACCACCACCTTCACCGCTCCCTAATTTGCCACCAGCTCTGCCCCCAGCTCCTCCTTTAGCTCCAGCTCCACTTCCATCTTCTTCCCCACCTGCACCTGCACCTGCACCTCCACCTGCACCACCTGTACCTTTGCCACCATCAGTTCCATCTCCCCCTGCACCACCAGCGCCTCCAGCACCACCAGCACCTCCAGCACCACCAGCACCTCCAGCACCACCAGCTCCTCCAGCAACACCTGCGCCTCCAGCACCACCGCTACCATCTGCAGCTGAGCCAGCACCACCAGCAGCACCTTTCTGAGCTTTTCTTGCAGCTGCATCTTTAGCGGCTGCTGCCCTCTTTGCCTTTGCAGCAGCCTTTGCAGCAGCCTTCTTTGCAGCTTTAGCCTCAGCCGCTTCCTTTTTAGCAACTTCAGCCTCTGCTTTGGCAACTGCGTCTGCAGCTTCTCTCTCAGCTTGAGCCTTCTTAGCAATTTCCATTTTTTCTTCCATTTCCTTTCGATATCTTTCTTGCTGTTCCTTAGCTATTTTAACCAGCTCTTCATCATTGCTGGCTCCAGCCATAGTAGTTTTGCGAGCTGCCTTCTTGCCCTTGTTGGCTGGATCTTTGTCAGCTATAAAATAAGAATATCTGAGTATTTGTATGTTATAGGTACAGGGAACAAGCATTTGTTTGTGGTCATGTAAACATTTTTGAAAAAACAATAGTGATTTATGCATGCTTATTTAGAATAAGTACCAAAATCAAAATGCAAAAAATGCAAAATTATTTTCTCACCTTCAACTACAAGCCAGTTGTTGCAGGATTTGATTCCTGCCACAGCAGCATAGATACCTGCATCTAAAGGCATACAGTCTCGCACAATCAACTTGTGGATTAGCTTATCTTCAGATACAGTGATTTCATGTTTCTCACTGTTTGACAGTAGAGCGCTTTTGCCATACCATTTGACCTCACTCATAGGTGCAGTAAGGACACATTGGAAGAGGGCATCCTCTCGCTCTTCTGCCTTTACCTCCTGTATCTTAACTGCAAAATCAACTTCAGGTACTGCAGGGTTAAATAAAGAAAAAAGAAAAACAAAGAGAGACTGTTAAATGACACCAATAATCCTATCTAAACCCATTCTTAGGGTTAGCATTCATCAGTAATACACTAAACATAGTCTCATCACTTTCATTTTCTGGAGGACGTACCTTTGAAATCTGTGGAAAAAACATTGACACCGCCAACATCCACTGAGTAAAGTCCGGCATCTTCTGAACCCAATTTTTTAATTCGAAAGATATATTTCTTGCCAACTTGTTTCAAACTGTGCTTTAATTCATCCCCTTCATCTTCTGTAAATGGAACCATGACACCATTCTGCAGAAATATAATGACTTATTATTATCATTTTGATATGAAATGATTCAGTACAGAAATGTTATTTACAAGACAGTTGTTAATATCTCACCTTGTACACAAAGATTTTGCTGGTTGGATCCTTGAGGTCCATGTCCAACTCAATTGTTGCACAGTCGTCGTCATCCACCTCGATATGCTTTAAGGCACTGATTTGTGTAACAAACTGCAGTGACAAGAAAGACAAAAAAACAAAAAAACACAACATTTAGGACACATTTTTTGTTGGACAAGCTTATGATGGACTAAAAGAAGAATCCAAAAGGCCACATACCTCAGCAATCTCCTCCTCTCTCTCTCTCTTCATTTCACTGAGTCTCTTCAGCATACCGCGAAAGTCTGTGATACCGTATTCACAACAGATGTGCTCATAGTCTTTCTTGTCAGCGCTCATGAGGATTTCCCACACTTTCTCCTCTGGCTCCATCGGCTTTTCCTCTCGTGTTCCATCAGGGTTACTGTAAGGTGGCAATTTTCATTTGGCCACACACACCATGTTTTAAACCAACTAATGTTTCGTTGAAATTTTCATAGACAAAGAAATAAGTTTACAAAATGTCACTCACCGTTTCTTAAGTTTTTTCCTGAAGTCTGTTGCATCTGTGGAGCCATTACAAGAAACATCAGTCTGTCACTCACTGTCATACTTTGCCTTAGAAAGATCAAGTTATATTCAAAGTTACAAATACTATGTTCTATAACTAATTTCAGTGATATATTTTAAACAAAGCCAGAGTTTCAATCTCATGGCTAATAGAGGAAAATGTCCAGTCCTATCTAAATGGCCACCCACAAAGTATTCCTGTATAAAAATAAAATGCTGCTTCACATGAATTATCTGAATGATAACAGAAAATGTTACACTGTCGTGTTAACACTTCAGGCTAGAGAAGCCCGGCATACCAGCCTGAATAAAGGCAACTGAACACACACCATCCAGCCCAGGCACTTTGTGTTCAGCAACATGAATCTGTTTGCTGATATTCACAGTTCTCAGGCCTTTTTAAAAAGAGTTAATTGTGTGTCAAGTGTCAGAACATAGTGGCACTGCACTGTTGTGGCAGATGCACCACAACAGGCACATTTTTCCCCCTTAATTCTAATTAATGAATAAAATGTCATGTTTCTATGGAAATAGATGGCCCAGATTAAAGAACAGAGAATCTGAGCTGCTGCATATTTCCCACTATTTTTTAGCTTAGATGAAAACCATGAATCATTATCTATCTTTGTTCACAGCTGGGTTCCCAAATCCCTTAAAGTGTTCTTTGTAAAAATGTATTTTTAATTACAGTTTGGACTGGTTTTGAGCGCTAATTGTGTCTGGACAGGGGCGAGGACAGTGTATATCATCTCTCTTTTTGTTCTTAATTTGGCTTGAATATCGCTTGTCTCTTGGAAAGTTCTTTTAGGGTCCAAATGTTTTCAATCTCACCTTCTCCTTGTTTCTTTTGAAGTTCCTTGGTCTTTGAAAATCCAACTGTTGACAAAAAAACCCCATCATCATTACAAACAGCTATTTCACCCTTTAAATTAAATTAAGTTTATTTAAGTCAGCATAAAAATAAATCAACAACTAAAAACAAAGCAAAAACACAAATTTCTATGACCATTACTTATGAATATAAAATGTACAAATAAATACATCTAGGGATTTAAACTGACCAAGAAGGTGTTTGCCGAAGCTTTGGCTTATTATGCCCCCATTTTTCACAGAACCTACTCTTAGGCAACCCTTTAGTAAGTTCCAGAATTTCACAAGACATATAAGACATTTTTTAAGAATCAAAACAAGGCACAATCCATAAGTCGCAATCATTTCAAAAATACTAATCCTCTTGTTGTTTTTAAATTTGTTTTTTACCCATATTTAATACGCTTATTACCCTATTTTCGATACAAATGTGGCAAATTAGAGAAAATATACCATACTTATTTTAAACATGCATAAAAGATAGTAAGTCAAGTAATTATAAGTGATCCTACCCTCAATGACGTTCAAGACTACAGTGCAAACAGCCCTTCCATACTCATTGGTTGCAAAGCACTTGTAGGTGTCAGCATCCTCAGGAGCCACCTTAGGAAACTATGGAAACAGAGTAAAAGGGATTGTTATTGTCATTGAATGCAGGTTGAGTTAAATTAACTTCAAGCATTACCACATTACGTTTTTGCTTATCTGAATATAACTCTGCAACTGATATTGAACTGACCAACAAACTAATTCTTGTAATCATAACCTTTGATAAAACATAAGACAAGAGTTGACATTGATGCACCGATGCTTTCTATTTTTGATCATGTCGCTCTTCTGGGCAGAGTGCTTTGTTATTTTGTTGTTGAGTGTAAATATCATGAAACCATGCCTTTGGTATTTGTTGCAGATGGTCATCATTTATACCTCCAATGAAACTTTGTAAACTTACCTCAATGGTGTGCTCGCGGGAAGTATCGTCATACTTTTGCTCGCACATGTCAGGATGAAAATGAATTTCTCCGTTTGCTCTGCTCCATGTCACAGTAGGTGTTGGGTTGCCCACTACAATGGCTTTAAAGACGGCCAATTTACCTGAAATGGAATTAATTGAAGATTTCACTACAAAGTATAATTATTATACATATCTTTTGCTTGATAGCTTTTGATCCCTCCCTTTCTACATTTTGCCCTTCTCTGCCATCTGCCAGAATCACACCTATTTCTTTGCGATTTCGATACAAGCGGGGGTATAATTATCAGGTTAGTTAACAAACATTTCCATTTTTTAAACATTGTAGCTCTTAGTGCTATTTAGCTGTAATCTAATTTAAACTGCGGTCATCAAACCTGATACTACTCAGTCAATCAAATGCTTTACTCAGACCAGGCATTGCAAGTAAACGGAAACACCCCCCAGACGGCAAGTCTCAGAAACACAGAAACATGAGAAAGTGAGCCAGGGAAAAGTAGTAGACTTTGTGTGCTCTAAAATTAGAAAAGAAGATGCAAAGAAAGAGATTGTCATCAAGAATGGACGGACTCTAACATGTTTTTTTCCCCCACAGGCAGTTTAAAACAGTATGCCTCACATTTTTTTTATTTCTCGTTATCGTTAAATGCGATAATGTCAAACATCATTGCAAGGCAAATGACCGAATGACATATCTTTTGACCAATCATACCAACTCAAATGCAATCGGAGGACGGAAAATAAACAAACAAAGCGCCCATTATGATCGATCCACCAGAATTCTGCTGACGCATTCACTGATCAACAACATGCCAACAATATTCCCTTAAAATCGATATATGTATTTTAAAAGTATGTTTGTCTTTGTGTTGGTTTATGAATGTGAATTAAAAGATCTCCCTTATAGACAAGGAGACTTACCCTCTTGAATAGTCAGAGCAATAGGTTTGCGTGTGAAGTCAGGGGTTGACATGTCCTCTGGAAGTTCCTCGATAAACTGCGTAATCATCACCCCGGGCACCTTCGACTTCTTCTTGATCCCTGGTCAAATTAAAAGAAAGTAAGAATAAGTTTAGAATATGGAGGACACATGTATACATTATTTATTCATCAAGACATGAAAATATAAATGATTGTGAAGAGGGATCTTTGTAAATCAGAGAAAATGGAAAAAGGTATGGAAAAAATACTTTATAATTATGGCTCATTACGAATAATTGACTTGTGCTCAACAGTTGATAAATATTCTTGTACCAGGAAAATAACCCAGAAAATATTGTCACTGTTTAATTTGTGCATCATAACATTCAACAATAAATGAATGAAGAGTGACTAAAGAATGTGGCATGTTTGCTAAACTGATTCAACTTCTAAGGCCTTATTGTCCAGAAAGAGAGAAAGTAATGATCGAATGAAAAAGTCTAATCAGTAGTTTATATGCAAATGTATGAATAATAAACAGGTTGACGTCTAAATTGGGATAACAGAAGTATTTCAAAAGTTCTGAACCAAATTAGCAGGACTTTCCTGCAGCTTTATATCTAACAATGTTTGGTTTTTACATTTTGTAGAAGCTTTTTGCAAGAACTAAATACAAGTGAGTCAGTTTACATCTCCTGTTTTTTTAGCTACACCCTCACAGCAATATTAACACTGAGAAGTCCAAACTGTAAGAACAGTAGGGGGGTCAAAAGTCACAACATTTTTCAAGGGTATCATTGGAATTATCAATGTATTTATGTGTAAAAGGCATTTTTAAGTAAATTTAAAAAATAAGACAAAGTCAAAACAAGTTGTCTGTGAGTATCTGATGTGGACTCTGCCTTCTCATGGGCCTCTCTCTATTAGTAGTGAGTGTTCAGTCCTGAAATACACATGCACCCATAACTGACCCTATAAATGTAAGTAGAAGATGTGATAAACATAGTCTTTTGTTGTGATCAAATCAAGACAGTTGCCATAAACACTGATGTTTATGTCGTGTTGAAAGTGTGAGTAGTTAATACATGTACGTAGAAGGTTGGACAAATTGAGTTTAAAGAGGACCAATTGTGCTTACTTTGAGTTTGATTGTTTTTTTTTCTGAGATTATGCTAGAGGACCCTTGCATGTTTCAAAGTTCAACCATTCTTTATTGCTAGTGGGGGATATTGGGGATTGTTTTGTTCATTCTCACTGGTTGGATACAACCCCTAAATATTTGCCATTCAGTATGTTGGATAACGATTTCCTTCTTGTCGGGGGTTCATGACATCACAATGGGGCCACATACAGCTCAGTTAATTTTTCATCCATATCCAGGGCTTAGTTTGATGGTTAGCTTGTTGAGGCTTCCCTCACTAACAGGTCTTCTCAAATACAAACCAAATACAGACCAAACCGATTTTTTGTCCAATAACTCTACTCTATAATTTCACAAATTCATGTTATCTATATACCCTGATGAAGTCTCCTGATGGATTGTCACTGACTTGGAATGTAATTACGCCTGCTTCTGGTCTTTCCATCCCTTCAATCACGTCATTTATATCTCAAGGTTGAATAAGTAATCATAAAAGGATCTTTTGGTGAAGTTTAGATTTGAAGGCATCTTGATTTTCCATCTTTGTCCACATAACAAGATAAACTTGAAACATCTTACTTTGCGTGCAATAAATGTATATTTACCTTACTTATGTGCAGCCATTAAGTGTACCTATCTTTGTACTTATTTTTCTTGTACTTTGTTCAGTTCAGTCAAAATTGAGAGCGCTTAAATCTGAGAAAATTGGACAGTTCCCTCACATTATCTACATGGCTGGCTATTCAAAACAATTGATTCAGAATAAGGCATTCCTGCAAGTTGTCGTGTTTTTTGCAGAACCAATTTTCAGAGACAACCAATATGGACTGACCAACAGAAATCTCGAGGGGATCATCACTGAATGCTGATCCCAGGGGTTCAGCTGGTCCAGGGATCCCTGGTCTTTAATAATTTTCTCTTGGCATGAAAAACCTGTAACAGGCAGAATATTAACTATAGAATATGTTGATAAAGTAAGTAGAGATGAGCGTCGTGCCCCAGCATTTTGCATTCTGAAGCACGTTAGAGGTGAAATGCTTGCATCAGGTGCTAAACAACAGTATGTCCTGAATGTTGAAGAATGCTGATAACGTTATATGAGTTTTGCCGTGGACATTGTTAAAAGCCAGATGTTTGTATGGAAATAATGATCAGGCTATTAATGGAGACCAGCAATTTAAGCTGCATGTTTAAGCCAGACATTGATTTCATGGGTCAGTCAGCGAAACATAACTGATAAAGATTAACTGTGATAAATTTGGTACAAAAAGACGTTTACATTCCTATTATTCTTGAGCCGATTAAATATGGCTTTTTAGATAATAGATCCCATTTTAAACCATCGCAAAAATTCTTGGTGTCTTGTTTTTGTGTAGATCCTGAAATGGTTTCTGTCACTTCAGTTTTCGCATAATAGTACAAGTCATAATATAAAATGTCTGAAGTAACTGTCTTCTCTTTGTTTAAGTGGGGCAATCTTTTTTTTTTTTTATTGCCTGGGACCGTAAGACAGAAGTGTGCTGCCCTTACACATAGTTGGTGGCCTCGGAGAGCCACAAGTTATTTCAGCTTCAAGTTCAAGTGCCCACCTTGAATTGTAAACCATCTATGACAGCGAGGGCAGAGGTCATATGTAATTGAGTCCAGTATATCTTAAGAAATGCAGTGGAGCAGACCGTGGCCACTTTTGCAAATTAGTAATGATGACGAGCATGAGTACTTTGCTTTATCTGTCAGTAGTTCAACAATGAGGAGTTTATCTTTTTGGTTTACCAATGTTATCAATAATGATTGGACACCAACATAAAGACTAGCACAAATTCTGTTTCAGTATTTAAACCCTGCAGCACTTTCTTCTATTTATTTCTGTTTTCTGTTAATTTGTGTTTTACTTGTTTCATCTTGAAATGGCTAAAAAGGGACTTTCAAATATCTTTGTGTATAAAAGTAGATTTATAATTAGAGCTGTTTTGCCTCACATAATAATGTGAGAATAATAAAGATAACATTCAGAGAGGTTTTCAAAACCTGTTGCCTCACCAACATGTCCCTACTGTTCTCATGTGGTGTGTTTATTTTCAACATGGAAGCTTCTTGCTTCTCTACCAGGACTTTGCATTTTTTTGCTGAAAAGCTATCCAGTCTGTAGCTGGAAAGCAGGTACAGTTACTAATTTCAAACTTTACAGGCCAATACATGAGAGCATTATGTACCAGTGTTTCCCCAACTATACTGTGACTGTCACAGGAAATTCAAGAAATCAAAAGATATTTCGAGTTGGGTGAGGTTTAAGGGCTGCAAAAGGTCATGGTTGTTTTTTTCAGCTGATTACCTCGAGACCTCAATGTTCTGTGTTAACTTGACAGCACACGGTTCCCTTAGACCTGCTTTGAACTGTTTGGATCATCGAAATTGCAATTTTGTATCTGTGACAGTCCTGGTCGTCACAGTGAACGCTAAGGTGAGCATGTGGGTCAGGCTTGAAAAGCCTGAAAATCTCAAGGAAGTACAGAAAGGGAGACTTTAAGGGTTACTCAGTTTGACTTGGTGTTCATCATTTAAAAAAAAATACTTCCTGAAATAAGATTCACTTGACAATGATATCAAATTCAAACTGTTTGCAGGATATCAATATCACAGAAAAGCTGGAATAGCTTATCAGATCGCTAGATTTTAGAAGAGTTGGAGCCACTTCTTTGGTGTGTCCCTTTAGGCCACGTTTACTTAATGAGCCTTAAATGTGTCAACATTTTGCACATCCTTTAAATTATAAGATAAAGTTGACACATGGAAATCAACAGCAGCAATAGCCTTGAGCTAGTTTTCATACCGGATGAAGTTTGTTTAGAAAGTCACAATGAAATGCATCTGTTGTGACACTGAAAGTTGAATCATCCATTTCGGATGACACCTTTCAAGGGGCGATGAAGACCACATCATACATGCAACTCACCCAACATGGAGTCATGCACTTACAGACGGTGAGTCGTTTGTGTAATTTGATTTCGTTTTTGCTCCCATACCTTTGTCTTCTGGGTGACTTCCCTCAGAACGGTCGACTTAACACATAACATGACAGCAGGAGAGGGAACAGGACAGGTAAATATAAATCCTGACAAAAGCACCATGGTAGGTTGGAACTTTGACGGGATTATTGAAACAATGAACATAAAACACCACAATGTACAGTATAACCCATGAATGGGAAGCACATACATGGACACACCTGAGGCAGAACACAATACTCAGATGCATCACACAACAAAAACATGGTTAGTCATAGACAAAAATGATAAAGTATGTTAGTAATATGTTGTTACAGCAGCGTGTAAATAGTTGTGCTGTACAACTATTGATTAGACTTAACTTCAAGCTGGCGTAGGCATTTTCTCATGGCTGACATCTCAGGATGATTTCTGCGCAGTGCTTGATTGAAACTATGAGCAAATACTTTGTAGAGAAGGATAATGTTGGAAATGTATTGTTATAAACCCTCCATTTCATCTTCTACCAGTTATCAGCACCAATTCCTTTCAATTTCCTCTTCAATTGTGGCATCGGATAGTGACCATTGACCTGATCTTCTGTGATGACTGTTGATCATTCTTGAACCCACCTGCTGTTGTTGGCATCATTCTTCAGATATCATTTGTTGGACATCCCCGTGAAGAGATTTTGTTTCTCAACATGCTCTTGTTTGGGGATAACAACTGGTTTGCATTTAATCTTCTTGCAACTGGAAACCTTTGGTCGATCATTTGACAGGCAGCTTTATAATCAAATCTGTGGTTAAAGAAAAGCCGACCAATGACAACTTGTTTCAGCAAGTTTTTCTTCGGCAAAAACTTCCATTTAAAAAGTAGCATGTGTATACTTTGCTACAGAAAGGGTCTGGTGCTTGACTTCCTTGACATCATGAGGGAGATCCTACAAAGCCCTGATGATGATTGGGACAGCTTTAACTGCACAAAAGAGGCTGTGGTTCTTGTCTTTGTTTTCTCTCTGCACAAATATTCAACTGTCTTCACAGAGCCGAATTCTTGAGATGACTTGGGTGTTCCAAATCTTCTGAAAAGATGCATACTGATCTTGTGCAATCTTTGAAGTTGTACGCTTCCCAGGTGGTTCTTGCTTCGAGAGTCTTTTTTTCTTTTCTTTTTTTGTAAAACGCAATTTCATGAACCTTTTATTCGCTTCAAGATTGGTTTTGTAACTCAGATGAATCCTTTTCACCTTCATCCTCAGATAAGACGACCCACAAGTTGAGGCAGCTGCAATACCAACCCTGAACCTAGCAGAGGGGGCGTAAAACACCCAGCACTTACCCGCCTGCCCAGCGGCAGTTTGATCGGTCACCTTCGACTTCTTCCACATCTTGGCTTCCTCTTGAGCTCTGCTGATTCAGGAGGCTCTGTAGCAAAAAAGACACAAGTTTCAAGGGGGAATCATAAGCACTGCATAGATGCAGAGGCAAATAAGTGATACTGATTGACTGTCTCTTAAAAGCTTGAGGTCAGTTATTATTTCAACTTCAGAATAGGTCTAGATCTTTCTCATTCTTATTTTGAACATCATGGATTTATTGGATCATGTTGGAAGAAACTCCATTGCCCTGACTCCTGGGATGCACACTGCAGTTACTTGAACCTGTCAGTGAGAGGCAGCAACCAATGTCATGTTTACTTGCTGTCGGCCTTAACATTGGATAAATATCTGTCTCAGGAATCCTTTGGAGACCTGTGATAATTAAGCAAGGAGCTTGTCAGAGCCTTAAATAAACAGGGTGAAGAGTTACATTTCAAAACACTGTGCACACTGGGCTGTCTATATTCCCCGAGTCCTCATTAATTATTAACTTAAGTTGAATAAGTGCTGAGTTGTAATAGCACATAATACTTTGATAGTAGAAAACAAAAAGCCAAAGGATGCAGCACTCAGCATGCAGCACCTTCAGATCTGCCTATATCTTTTTCACAGGTATATACATCAAGTCTATCACTGTATGTTTCCAAAATAACAAATCTAAACAGAGTCTGAAAGGGGGATTTGTTTACCACATTCACAAGGTTCACATCTTTGTTTTAAGACATCAATATCATTTTATGTAGAAAAACACCTGTTGAAACATGACACTTAGAATGAATCACATCTGCCTCACATATCACATATTTTACATGAGTCATATCCCTCAGTTGTGAAAGGTCACATGCATCACTTTAAGCCATTACTATTTTTTGTTCTTGTAAAATCTGAACTTATGACTCTCCACTGAAGAGGTCTTAACCTTCTGATTGGACAGAGATTCAAAGTAGGTGTGGTTGTGTATTGGCAATTCATATTGTGATTATAACTTTGCAGCTGAACATACATCCTCAGAGAATATTGCTAACATGACAAGGTGAGTTTTGTCTCTGCTTTGGATACCGTGAATAAAATTGTGCTTATGTGCTTAATTGGATAACCCCATGTAAACCTAAAACAGATTGTTAGTTTAAAATACATTATGCTTTGGATTTATTTCATAATTATGGATATTTTGACAACTATTGAGTGATGACAGAGCTTGTAAAGTGTACAGCTGTACTTTAATACCTGCTAGTGTGTAAAGCTCCCACTGCATGAAAAGAAACATAGTTATTCCTCGACTGCATGAACCTTCAAGTGAGTTTAATACGTTTGCATACTGTATTACTTACACTTCTGATGTAGTTTGAAGCATGGATTAATACATGATTTTACCTTTGAAAACATTTGCACTTAACCTGATCCAACTTGTAGAACCTACCATGTATAAGGTATATAAGGTACATGTATAAGGTTTTTCAGTGTGCTTTATTTGTCAAGACAATAAAAAACGCTTCCCATTTTAGATCATGTTGAAGCCAACTTCTAATACTAAGAAGTTTGATGGAAACAAACTCTTAGTTTCCCTTTAAACAAAAACGAAAGTGGCCTTTTTAAAACATCAGTCTTGATTTAAAAAAGTGAAGACTTCTCTTTTTGACTGCCATCATGATTTTACTATAAATCTTTTTCCTGAATATTTCAACTTAATTTTACAATATTGACAGTCCGTCCTGATGTCCGACTGAAAATAAAACCTGCCGTCTTTGAAAGTATGTCTTTCATTTTCAGTTCTCCAAATGCAGCAGCATATGTTCAGAACCGTTCTGGGTCCCTTCAGCATTCTTGGCTGTTGTTGGATTGTGAAAATGAACTGCACAACACATACGGTAATTGCAAAACCGCCTGCAACAGGAGACAGCTTGGCAGGAGTCCCTTTGCATTAAAGGAAACCCACTCCCCTCTCCTCCCACTGAATACTTCTGCCATTTTAGCCCATTACATTTATAGTTTAATGTTTGGCTGAGGCTCTCAAGTGATTTAAATGAATACTGACATGTGGGGGAGGGGTTGCGGACAAAAAACTGTCAATAGATTGTAGGCATCTGTCATTGTTGCTGTCACCAAGATTTGAAAGATTTATTCTGCAGGCTGCATTGCAGTTTTACACTTTACACACACTGTTGCTCTAAATACATGCTTCATATTATCATTACACATAACCAGTATGTGGGCAGGCAGGCTGGTTGTCACTGCTGCAACATAACAAGTCACCAGCTTAAAATTAGACATAGGCTATCTGAAATGTTGAACTGCTGCAGCAGAAATAAAATGTATCCAGCTTTTCAGTCTCTGGAAAACCCATATTTTGTACCAAAACTCGCCTTCCCTTGTCTTTCTTTTCCTTTTCACTACTGATCTCATGAGTATGTTTAAGTATTTATATCTTATTCTGCACACACAATCACAGTGAAGAACATGGTGCCAGTATAAATATGGAGGTATTGCATCAAAGAGTACAAACATATATGAAGTTTTCAGGTGCTTTCCTTGAGGTTTTGTTTTTCTGACAGAACTTTTACTTTCATCCTCCTGACTTTCAAAACAATCATCTCCACTTTCCACTCCTGACATTTGTAGTGTGCTCGTAACTTTACTTGTTGTACATTTAAAAGTATCTATTGCTTTATTTTATTTACATCTTTGCTCACTGCCTGCCCAACCAGGTCCTTCTACAAACTAAGTGGATGGGCCGATAGCACTTGAAAAAATTATTCCTTGCGATATCTATTGCTGGATATCAGGCATGACAGATGTAGCAGAAAGATCGTGTTGAAAAAGACCTCTCAAGATGAAACGGTCTGGAGGGGGAACTCTGCCTGTGAGGGAAGTAACCCAAAACTAACATTGCCAACAATATCAGCACAATGTATTCATCTTATTCATTTACACAAGAAGCTAGGTTTTTTTTTTGTTGTTTTTAAGCTGAATTGTCTCCTAAATATGACATGAGGATCAGTAAGCTCTGCATGGTAACAGAGGAAAATGACCCTCAGAGCTACCCTTACAGTATACTGTGAGTACATCTCAGAAGCCTGTACTCTTTGAATAACGTAAGCCTTCTATGTACTTTCTCTTCTGCTGTGTAAATACTAATGATTTTTCCCCAATACAATGTTGGTATCCCAATTCAGATAACAATTACCTTCTCCTGCTTAATTAACTTTTCATAATAACTTAATGATTACTGCTTTTCTGTTGTTCCTTAGCTGTCCATGCATGATGAAACCTATTGGACTGTAATTTTTTTTATCTTTACAAGGGTTCTACAGCACATCCCTGGACATTACCCCAAGTTGACTTCTTGTATAAATAATGTAAACATGTAATGCCTCAAGTGTCAGTAGTACGTGACATGTTTTTACTGAGTCTCAGCCACCCACAGCAGATCCCTGAACCACCTTAGTTCATACTCCTGAAATGGTATGTGGTTGCTTCTCGAATGTCTGCCCCTGCATTTCTCAACACATCACTGACTGCAGCTGAGAGTTAAAGACAGAAAGTGGCTTCAGCTCACATAAAACTGGGCCTGATGACGAAGCCTTTTGGTGTCAAATGAGCACTCCTGGTGCTATATGGACTTCCATTGGATTTGCCTATTTGAGTGCCCGCCAAGATGATGCATGTCTGTGTAGTTCATTTTTAGTCTTTCATTCATGTTCAAGTCTTTACCCTGTGTATAGCTTTTTAACAGCTTATTTTCAGAAACAGACTTTGGATGCTCACGAATCTGAGGCAGATTAGAGAGAACACCTACAGTCAGAACAGTATCTACTACAGTCCTGTGTCGTTATTCAATGTGAGCAGAAGTCCTATTTTCGGCCAAACTACAACCCACACCCTCCATGGCTCTCAGGCTGCACATTGATTTGATTCCTGCGTCTTAAGTTAGTCATCAGCACCCAACAACCCTACAGCTCTGACCTCAATACTGTGATCCAGCTCCCAGATTTAAAACTGTGAAATTCAAACTGAGAAGCCTGCACGCGTTACTAAAGTGATTTCATGCACTGAACAACAAATTAGTGTGTTCTCTGTGTAACTAAATCCTGTACAGAGTTTAACATATATGATAAATTATTTACAAGGTAATCTGAGCAACTGAAATTAGATAGGGTATTAAAATCCTATTTACTGTAAGTAACTATACTTGCTGTTTGAGCTCGGCAAGTTCTGCTATATTAGAAATAGAAACATGGCTTAATCATCCACATACATGTGTTATTCAGATTATTTTCCTGATCCTATGTGTGCACCTGCTCCCTAAATACTGATAGCCTTCTGATGCAAACCATGAAATAACACATTGTCTTAATCCTGATTACATGTGCAGGGGCCGATTTACAAGAAATAGCTTGCCTGCAATCCATTTCTTTTTACTACCCAGAACATTTTCCTCTACAGCCTCTGTTAACAGAGCCACCTACCTGTCCACAGTCCTCAGTGCTGTCAGCTCTGTTCCCTTTCAGGCAGCAGTCTGGTCACACTGTGCCTTCTCCTAATTTTTTCAATGTAATAGATCCTTCCAGCAGCGTGCAAGTAAGTCTGTGCTTGATGCTCCTCTACTGACTGGACTCGATGACTGCCAAAAGCTGTTTAGGCTTTTTTTGTATTTGTGGTGACTCCAAAGACATTGGAGGTTGAGTGGGCGGTGATGCAGGGGGGGAACAGTGAAGGTTGGGTCAGAGAGCAGGTTAAATACCTCTTAGAGAATCATTTGTTATCATTAGCCACATACAGTAACATAAACAAAGAGATTTTGTCTTGTTTAGAAGCCTCGGATCAAGATATATCCAAGTTCAGTGATTATATGGTTAATGTTGACATGTTGTTTAAATATAATGTTTTTATAGATCAAGTTAAAATGTCCTGAATGTATCTATTCTTTGTGAAAATAAAGATGGTAAGACTCTCTCAATGCAAACAATCCCTTGTTATTTGTCTTTTGACTGTCTTACTCATGTTGAATCTAAATACTTTGACTGTTATCACACTGCATACAACTGCAAAAAAAAGTGACAGGGTTTTTACACCCAGCTCATTAAACTAGTTGTGTAAATATTTTCACTGTAATTAAAATTTGATAGTGTGTAAGTATTGTACAATCGTGTTACCAGTTGAATGTGTTACTAGCTAAAACTGGGACAAATCAATGACCATCCTCCCAACATCAAATAACATAACAACGAAGCTCGAAATGGTCAATATTTATTTGACAAACTGAAATTGAAAATCGAAAGCAGACACATTGGTTTTACAATCTTTATTCATCACATAATTTTTTCAAAATAAGACAGCTTAGAAAACAATATTCAGCATTTGGCTTTTTATAAAGCCGACGTGTGTTAATAGCTACTTCTAAATCAAGGTTCAAGGCCGCTGACCTTGAAAGCCTTCATCCCTTGTCTTTTATTACAGTCACTGGTATTCCCGCTGCATGTCATGTCAAGAGTTGTTGTATTATTTTAAGTCACGCCGTGAATGTTGCCAGCCGACGTCCAGTGCATAAAGGTCTTATATAAAGAAATGATGCGTCGGTTTGGAACATTGTTCCCTCCAAACAGGTGTCATACCAAACGCTGGGCAGCTGCTAGGAGTTTATGTCACTAGAAACATATGAAACAAGATCAAGAGTATCAACAAGTGTAAATAACTCCAACAACAACACATTTACGAGACACATAGAACAAATGAAACGAGAGAATCAAAGCAGCCACGCATTAAAAAATCCTTGACAATTGTTTGGAACTGGACAAGTGAAATTATCTTACAATTTAAAATGTACAACCCCTCATATTGGCTTCACTTCCCAAATGGACTAACAATAAAACACCTTTTTTGTTACTTGTTTTTCTTTTAGGAATCATGACAAACAACCTCAGTGTGTACTAGAAAAACACTTTCAAGAGACTGAGGGACCTCCCTAAAATATTTTTCTTGGGGTCTTCTTGGATACCCAAACCCTTCTGGCCCCGACAGAAGAACCAGTGAACTTTATCTTCAAGAAACATAAACAACCATAAATCTGTCGTACTTAAAGAAGTGTTTGTACAGCTATCATTTTCAAGCAGACCGTCCTGAGGCAGCAACCATTCGTTTACACAGTTAATAGATCTAATATAAGTTTTATCAGTATATCAGTATCAATATCAACATTTATTTGTGGACTTCTTGACTTCTTCTTCTTTAATGGGGAATCATTTATCCTGCTTAGATGTGTATATTGTGTAGTTACTCCAAAAATTCCTTTATGGATTTTGAAGTCTAATACGAATAGAAGCTAACATGTTTCTGGATGTCATACAATCACAAGTAATTAATGCCTAAGCACACATTGACTTTCCCCCAACTACTTAACTGGCTTACTGGTTCCCTCACATGGAAAGATGACACCCCAGGCATGTTCCAGTTTATTGACCAGAGGTTTCGTCGTGTCGTCTGGTCAGGTTGAGGTCTGGGAAGGGTAAGCGGAGAGCATAAAAGCTATCCCATGCTATATTTGGGTTACTGTGATGTTGTGAACCACAAATAACCCACAGTGGTGTCAATAGGAGTTAAGTGCTTTGATGAAAAGCCATCAAAATACCTATTATAAATAATTGAGTGAAATGGCCTGTGACTTTTGTGTTTCTAGTGGCCTTGTGCACTTTTTTTCTGCAATTCATTCCAACGTCATACATGAGAAATTACTTCCTTTTCTTTTTCTTTTTTGTATTTATTTCTCAGAGTTAGTCTCTGTAAACTTCTGAATTCAAAGAACTTTAGTAGCCACTTAAAGAGTAAGCCCATGTACATACAACATATAGCTTCACTTGTCAGAGGGTCGTCTGCTCGAACACCCTGGTGTTGAAATGTCCTTTTGGAAGACACAAAACACAAGTCAGGTGCAACTATACTCTACATATATCTCATCCAGGCATGTTGCCCCCACTGTCACTGAAACATGACTTCATCCCTCACACTTTTTAACTCAACAGCTTTCAATAAGTCTTGTAGGTTATTAAAAAGGGTTAATGAGACAGGATGTAGGTGCACAGGTGGGAAATCTAATTATATTAGCTTTGAAGTTTGTTGTCATCCTTTCAGGATCCAAAATACTTTGACCCCTGGGGGAATCTTGTATTGGAAGGGGGGTTGGAGGTTGGGGGGGCTCATTAGTATTCGCCTTGAAAAACCCACCATTAAAATTGCTGCTCCACCCCTGATCTCATTAATAAATGAATGAGAAACAATAAATGACTGTATAACCTTTACGTTTTTACTCACTAATTTACGATTTTTATACTCTAACATAGTATGTTATGTTGTTCACCCCATGTACAGAGGCTTTAGTCGTCGTCACAGCAGCTGTGGGTTCAAATCCGACCTCGGCCCTTTGCTGCATGTCATCCCCCACTCTCTCTCCTCCCCACATTTCCTGTCTCTCTTCAGCTGGTATAAAGTAACCATGATGAGGTTCATTTGGGTTAAAATGGCTGCACTTTCTCCACATTGTGAAAGTTAGACAAACAACTTTCACAGTTACTAAATAGTACTTCAAGGCTAATCTTGCTCCTTTTAATTACTACTGTTCTTACTTCTGGGCATTAAAAGATCCCTTTAAAAAAGACTTATGACAAAGTGCTGATTCTGTGAAAGCACATTTTCCGAAAGATTTTCTAAAGTCAGTTTGAGGCTACAGCAAAGCAAGTTAGACAACTGAAATGGGTTTTTTTTTCCAAAGGTACAGTCCTTTTATCACCAAAATCCCTGTTTTTTTATTCCCCCAGATGATGGCTCCTAGCTGAACGACAGTAGAGAGATTGTAGCACAAAGAGGGAATTTGTACAAAAAGGACTGCTTGTCTTAGATAACTCGCTTGCACACATTCTCCCGTCATGTGTCGTTATTTTTCTTTTCGTGCTTTTTACTGAATAAAGCTTTCAGGTATATAGGTACAATGATGACTCGGTATTCTCTCTATTCCTTGACCTACTTGCCAACTGGATGCTTATGACTGTCTCGCGTGTCTCTGGTGGTCTTTGTCATCATTCACACTTCATCTCCTCTGGCTGCCTGTTACCTCTCTTCCACTTCATCTACCCTCTTAATGTGTCCGTTCTTTGATATTTCCCTCCTTTCTTTGAGAGTGATCCCTTATGCACTAATACCACTTTTAATTTGATCCACCAAGGTCCCTGTATGATTTTGTAGCTCCATTAGGCTAGAAATGGGTATATACAACCCAACTCACACTTTTTCTGTGAAGAATGTATTGGTTTACAAGTTTTTATCATTTTGAAACAACACTGATTTGAAAGTATTCTGCAATGCCAATATGTTCAATAACCACATAACAATCCCCCCTTTTCAGTGGCCCTACACTTAAACACGCCTACCTAGTTCCCCTTTACCATTATTTTTGCAAAAGATCTTCTAGGTTATAGAGTTTTGAAAAGGTCAATTGGTATGATAGGCTTTGGCAAAGAAAATTAACTCAATATGTTTAAGCATGATTAGGTTAGGTTTTGGACAAAGATCGTCACTATTGTTTAAATAGGTAATAGCAAATATACGTTGGTAATGTTGAATACATATCTGTGGTCAATAGTGACTGTTGGCAATCAAATCCATATAAAAGTATTGTTTGTTTTACCTGTACATAGTTCTGACTTTTGTCCTATTCATACTACATCTTGCATCCAATGAGCATTAAAACAATAGGCTAGAGAAAAGAGACAGGACACTGGTATTTCAAACAGTAATAAGAATATCAAGTTGACATCAACAACAATAATGTAAAACCAATACTAAAATAACATGACCCCAGACGAAACAAAAAAATACAATAACATCCAAGACATCCAAATGATGTATGCAAAATAAAGACTTTGACAGTGATGCACTGGAAGCTTAAAGTTGACCAAGTTTCTTATTAGCTTCTACAGCAGTATACCCCAAAGTTCACATTAAAAAAATGAGTGGTATTGCCCCCATTTTAAGTCATACCCCAGCATCGTATTCAGTAGCCTGTATGATAATCATTCTAGAGCAGCCAGTAGGCCAAGAGAAGTGTGTCGCAAGGATGGTATTGGTGCAGAGGAAGCTATCCATTCCTTTACAAGAAGTTTCCTCTCTAACATAAGGACAGTCTGGGTCCAGTCTACAAGTGGTGGAGTTAGGTAACTTAAAGTTGGAGAGGTCACCCAAGATAAAGTGACTGGGGGTGAAAGGGATTTCCCAGCCTATAAATTTTCCTACGATGGTATGTAACACAGGCCAAAACTCATGAACTTTGAGGCAACTCCAAAGCATTTGTGCTAGAGTACCATCTTTGTTGAGACACCTCCAGCACCCCAGGCTGTCAATCACACAAGATTAACTTTATTGTCTCACAAAGTGAGAAATTTGTCTTGGGCTCTTCACCCATGCTTCCGCCATACAAAGACAACATTTAACATCATTCACATTAAACACAAAACAATGAACATTGTTAAATAATGTACAGAAAAAAGTCCGGCCAGACCTACTCTATGTAGCCTGGATGGTGTCCAGTAGACTTTATTAATCATTTTAAAATGGGTTA